AATAGTATGGTTTTGCCTCCCTGGAGAGTGGATGGGGCACGAAACAATGTAAATAGTATGGTTTTCGGATACCCTCCTCGCCCAGGCGGAGCCTCCCTGCAGGGGTGGGAGGGGCACGAAACCATGTAAATAGTATGATTTTCGGATACCTTCCTCGCTCAGGCGGGGCCTCCCTGGAGAGGTGGGAGGGGCACGAAACCATGTAAATAGTATTGTTTTCGGATACCCTCCTCGCTCAGGCGGGGCTTCCCTGGAGGTGTGGGAGGGGCACGACACAATGTAAATAGTATGGTTGTCGGATACCCTCCTCGCTCAGGCGGGGCCTCCCTGGAAGGGTGGGAGGGGCACGAAACCATGTAAATAGTATGGTTGTCCGATACCCTCCTCGCTCAGGCGGGGCCTCCCTGGAGGGGTGGGAGGGACACGAAACCATGTAAATAGTATGGTTTTCGGATACCCTCCTCGCTCAGGCGGGGCATCCCTGGAGGGGTTGGAGGGGCACGAAACCATGTAATTAGTATGGTTTTCCGATACCCTTCTCGAACAGGCGGCGCCTCCCTGGAGGAGTGGGACGGGCACGAAACCATGTAAATAGTATGGTTTTCGGATACCCTCCTCGTTCAGGCGGGGCCTCCCTGGAGGGGTGGGAGGGGCACGAAACCATGTAAATAGTATGGTATTCCGATACCCTCCTCGCTCAGGCGGGGCCTCCCTGGAGGGGTGGGAGGGGCACGAAACCATGTAAATAGTATGGTATTCCGATACCCTCCTCGCTCAGGCGGGGCCTCCCTGGAGGGGTGGGAGGGGCACGAAACCATGTAAATAGTATGGTATTCCGATACCCTCCTCGCTCAGGCGGGGCCTCCCTGGAGGGGTGGGAGGGGCACGAAACCATGTAAATAGTATGGTATTCCGATACCCTCCTCGCTCAGGCGGGGCCTCCCTGGAGGGGTGGGAGGGGCACGAAACCATGTAAGTAGTATGGTTTTCGGTATGGAGTGGTATGGAATGGTATGGTAGGTATGGTATGGTATGGTACGGTATGATATGGTATGGTATGGTACTGGAGGTATGGTATGGTATGGTACGGTGTGGCATTGGTGTGGTATGGTATGGTATGCTATGGTACGCCATGGTATGGTACGGTATGGTACGTATGGTGTGTTATGGTATGGTATGGTATGTGCGGTAGGAACTATGGTATGGTATGGTGTGTGTGGTAGGAAGAATATTGTGCTGTATGGAAGATGGAGCGGGAGGTGGGTGGGAAGGAGAGGGTGTTCTGGGAAAACAAGAACCCCACTCAGGATGTGGGGAAAAAACAATGCGCACCGGACGGTGGGATTAACAATAATTATTCTTCTCACATGAGAGTTCATCAACAAACAAGAACAACCACAAAAACAACAACAACAACAACAACAACAACAACAACAACAACAACAACAACAACAATTACTAGCACGTGGGGACACTCCGTTCTCACCAGTGCCAGGGTTTTCATACGACGCCCGCCAATACCCCCACTTTGTGGGGGGGCCGGTTCAAGCTCTACCACATTTCCAAACGACTCTTCGCCACCACCCACACCCAGCTTCCCGCCCTATGACGTTCGGACACTTCACTTCGTGGCCTGCGGACGACCGTGGCTACTACACTGGCGCATGGGTACAGTGACTTGTTGTGGTAACATTTTCTGGACGCTAGCTTAGTATACGACTTTTCCCCCTGTTCCAACACTGGACACCTGTACTGGTTTTTGAAGATTTCGGCGTGCGCGCGCGAAGAAAAAACGAATGTGTCCCATATGGTATTATTTGACAGGGATGATGGCCCTGGCAGGCGCGCAACCGTTGTTGCAGAAGTTCGAAGCACGTGAAAAAGTTGCTCGCAAGAGCCCGTTTGACAGAAATGTTGAAAAAGTATTGGGTTTCCTAAGAAATCCGCAAGAGCGCGCGGGATGAATTTTTGAAACTTTTTTTTTGAAAAACCATTGGGTTTTTCATGTTTTTATGTTAAAATCGCTACGAAAACTAAGGTTTTGGAAGGATTTCATCTTGCGCGCGCGAGTGTGCACTTCGTGTCATTTTTTGCAAAGGATTCTTGAAGTTTGGTTATGTTAGAACAAGACATGTCATTTTATATTGTTTTTTGACAGGGAAAGCGGGCGTCAACAAAACAACCGGATCCGGACTCCCCCGTTTTGCCTGAGACTTCCTCACGAAAATGATGAAAATGTGGCTGCGGCCTAGGCGCGGCGAGGGGGGCGTGCACCAGGGGGCCCAACAGTAATTATTCTTTAGAAGTAATAAGATTCAACAACAACAACAACAACAACGACAACAACAACAACAACAACAACAACAACAACAACGACGACGACAACGACGACGACGACGACGACGACGACGACAACAACAACAACAACAACGACAATAACGACGACGACGACGACAACGACAACGACAACGACAACAACGACGACAACAACATCAATAATTTTAAGACTGTTCGATCTTATCTGCTCGAGTGTCCAATAACGCGTATTTCACAAACCCTCGATACCCGCGCTCTTCGTCTTGGATCGAACCCCTTTTGGGGGGGATACCTTTCTTCCCGTCGGCCTGGCCAGCGGCAGCGCTGATCGGCGGGGCGGCCGCGGACCGTCGACCCGACCCCAAGAGGGACGGACAGGGGACCGACCACGACGACGACGACGACAACGACGTCGACGACGACGGGGACGACGACGAAGACGACGACGAAGACGACGACGACGACGAGCGAAAGCGAGAGCGAGAAAGAAGGACAGCAGGGCCACGAAGGACACGAAGTAGTCTACGAAGGGCGACAGCGGGGACACGAAGGGAGTGCGTATGGGGCCACGACGAGCGCGAACGGGGGCCACGAAGGGCGGACAATGCGGGGCCACATAAGGCAACGATGGGGCCACTGAGGGTAGCAAGTGGGTCACGTAGGACAGTGAGGGGGCCACAAACGGCGACAGCGGGGCCACGAAGGGCATGCACATGGGGCCACAACGGGCGCGACTCCTGGGTGCCTGGGTGTCGGGAGCGCGGCGCTTGAGCAAACTGCAGGAAATTCCAACGCAAGGACGCTAGAGCGCCGGGAGAGCGATTCCAAAATAATTTGCAAGGAAGTCCCAAGCGAGAGCGCGATTCCTGCATAAAACGCGAGGAAGTCTCGGGCGGGAGCGGGGGTCTTAGCTATATTGTGAGGAAGTCTCAGGCGGGAGCCGTTGTTGCTGTAACCTGGGGGCCAGGGGCGCAGTTTGAGCATCAAGACTTTCCCTGTCAAAAAACAAGGTGCGAGCGTCGAGGGGTACACTTTGATTGAGAAAAAACAATATGCACCGGTGAGGGGGGATCAACAGTAATTATTCGTCAGGAATGAAGGTTCAACAACAACAACACTGTGTTTTTTCATTATGTCTTTTTTCGCCCCCGGAGGCCCACCCCCCAGATCCCCAGACCCCCCGACGTCGTGATTTTTTCACAACGTCGACCCCCAGAGCTCTGGACCCCTTTCGGAGGGGTACGAAGGTGGGGTTGGGAAAAGGTGGGGAAGGAAACTCGTCCCGAACGGCCCCTGAAGAGAGAAACGTGTCAAACGGGAGCATCCAGCTGGGCCCGCTCCCCGGCCCCACCTCGGGATAACCCTCCCTCTGCGAATCCCCCGACCCCTCCCCTGGGACCCGCTCGTCATCCGGAGTCGTTTTTTTTGACGCTCCCGAGGCCCCGTGAGGGCCCCGGAGGTCGACAACGGCAAAAGCCCTCCTGTCCCGAGTTTCTCACTGCGCGAGAGGGGGTCTGGGTCTCCGACGATATGCCTTTTGCACTCCTGACTACCTATCAGACCACCCCAACCCAACCCGAAGACCCGAATTTGACCTGAATTTCGGGTTGGGCGGGGTACGGGTTCCATGTGTTTTTTCAACGCTCCTCGACCCCCCCCCACTGGAAATGGAGGGCAAATTGAGGCCTTCGGGGTTGGGGTGGGGTGGTTTGGTGGGTGGTGAACTCCTGGCCTCTGGCGCGAGAAACCGAGCCCCCTTGGGGGAGGGGGGAAAGGGAGCTCCCCGGCCGCGCATTCGAAAAACAAACAAAACGCCCGCGCCCCGCTCTTCTCTCCGAGAGGCGCGCCCAGGGCGTGGCGGCGGGACTCCTCGGGGCCGGGGCCGCAAAGGCATCGCCGTCGCCCCGGCCTCCACTGTGAGAGAAAAGAAAGCTGCATATAGCGGAGGCCAGCCCACAAAGGAAGCCTTCCACAGGAAGGCCAACCGTGAGACCCCAGGACGGCCACTGACTCTTGGTCCGGGAGCGTGTCACGCTTGCCATCGCAAGACCATCGAGACCCAAGAAACCCACCGCACCCTGGAGGGCACGCAGGGTGCTTCCTGGCATGGGCCTCCGCTGCAGAGCACAAACTCTCGGAGCTCCGCGCGGATCTTCTGGATCGGCGCTGGACCGCCCCTCTCCCCCGTGGCGGACGCCGCGCGCCGAGGGGGCGGCGCCGGAGGCGCCGCCAGAGGAGGGGGGGTCCAGCACGGACCCGAAGAAGTCTGCGCGGAGCTGCAGGGCGGCCCCCCAGCCGTGCAAGGGAGGCCCAGCTGGCCCCCGCGAGGCGCTCCTCGCGAGGCCGGAGGGGCCCCGGGGGCTCCCGAGCAGCGCGAGGTGCCGGGGGGCGTCCTGGGCCTGGCGCACCTCTGGCAAGCCCCTTGGGCGGTCTTGGGGCGATCTTTGGGACCTCTGGGGCCATCTCGGGCCGTGGGAAAGCCGAACAGAATCGAGTGCAAAAACCCTGCAAACAAACAAAAAAACTCCGGATTTGATCCATGTGACGTGTGCCTCCTCGGGCCTCCCTCGTGGAGGCCCCTCAGAGGCCTCGTGGCCCGTCTTGGGCCGTCTTGGGGCCACCTCTGGCCGTGCCGGGTGCGTGCTTGCGCCGCTTCCTCCTCGGCCCTCTGCGCGCCGCCGAGCCTGAGGCGGTCCCTCTGCAGCGAGAACG